GTCAATGTATGTGTTGTAGTACTCTACAAGCAAGTTGATAGCTATGTTTCTCCTTCTATGACGTACTTGGTTTGGGTCCATAATGATGTATACTGGACACATTTTGACAAAGAAAACTAAATTATTAAGCTAATCATCACTACGAAAAGAAGCCTATTATTTAACCTGTGACAAGTAATAACACAAGCATTCAATATAGACCGGAGTAATGGAGCTCTAAGGAATTTTAACCAACAAATTAGATTTTCGCAGTTTTCATAAAGATAGTTAGATCTAAAAAACAAATTAAAATGAAAGGTCTCAATCAACAACAGTTCAAATAACCAGGTCTTCTCATAAACTGTTTAGATAAGCACATAGTAAATACTAAAGATCTCCATTCAGATTTTCCTGCGCTCATAAAAATGTCGTAGATACGACACCCATCGGTCCTTGTCAATTGCTGTGAAAAAATCTCTCTGCACCGAATCTTGAAGCAGCTCAACAGCAAAGTAGTAAAGCTCATCATCCGCTGCAATACTCGGATCCTGCTCTAAAATTGCCACAACCTCATTAATTGACGTTTTCTGCACTTTATGTGGGGCATCGTTGGAAGAATCCATAAGACACGATATTTGGTTTCTGATAGAAGCAGCTCCACCCTTTTTTTTACCCTCGAGCCTAGATCGCTTCGAGCGGTTCGTGGATTGAATCTCAGTTGGACCTGGACTTGGGAAATCAGATGAATCATCTGATAAGTTGACAGGAACATTGTCTTGTGTTTCACTAAAGCCTACCTCGCTTGGAGTGCATGCATATTTTCCTGTGGCGACGACACCCCCAAACATCAGGTCTAACTTCTCCTCCAAATCGGGTTCAATCCCACAAGTTTTATACTTTTTCGCTGCAGGCACCACCTGGAGAAAAAACCCAAATCAGTTCTACAGATTGAAATAGAAATATATTCTTAAAATTATCAACAATTACAATTACTAACCGCGAGCCTTTCTGCCCACCAATCCTCTAAGGCATCTATGGTACGCTTCATCGGATCCCAACCCAAACCAGTTGAACCACGTTTTAAATCCTTCCAAATATTCTAATTGCTGCCATGAATGAACCCCATTATTCCCTACCGAAAAATGAATGAACCCCATCCCAGAAAACCAAGTGCTGCAATGAATGAACCTCATTAATCCCTACCCGAAACATGAATGAACCCCATCCCAGCATATATGAATCTTTGATACTTTCAGATGCATAATACTTTACTCCCTCTCACAGAGTCCTTCGAATCCTTGCCAAGTCATGGAGCAATGCAAAGCAATTTAGGTGTAAAGATAACATAAAAATAATAACCTTACAATTGCTTATAGGACCATACCAAGGTACCAAGATCTGTCATGAGGGATTACACATGTTTTCTACCAATTAATATAGAAGAGCTCTTATTCAAATGTGAAGCAAGCATGAATATTCAGATTCTCAGGCATGTCATACATTCCCACACAACAATTGAATGCATTGCACCAAAAGACCATCTTATAACTACAACAAACAGAATAATAATAGCAACGGGTAATGAAACAAAGCATAACCGAGCCCTAAAGCAAACTCTAAAAGCCTCAAAGAAGCTAAAGATCCACAACAAAAAAGTAGGAAAAAACCGACAGCCTTCCTCTCAACCAATAAGCAAACGGGTTGAGGCAGCAGGGAAGTCATACATTTATATTACGAATAACAAGGGAGCAGAACCGTGCCCTCAAACCAAACTCCGAAAGCCTCAAACAATTATTTCATCTTGCATATGTTTTGAATGGGGAGACAACCATATAGAGCAAAACTAGGCCCTTAAAACCAAATTCACTTGCTTGAATATGCTTCAAACAAAGAGGCAACACAGCAGCATCAAAACCAAAAGTCCCAACGTAAAACTCCAAAGCTACAAAACAAAATGATACTACACGCCTGTGTTTCAAATAGAAGGGGGCAACAAAGAAGCTAAAGATCCATAACAGAAAAGCAGGAAAAAACCCACAACCTTCCTCTCAACTAATAAGCTCACGGGTTGAGGCAGCAGAGAAGCCACCAAGCCAACACAAAACTCTCAAAAAGCCTTCAAACAAAAAGTAAATCATGCATTGATATTACGAATAACAGGGGAGCAGAACCAAGCCCTCAAACCAAACTCCAAAAGCCTCAAAGAATTATTTCATCTTGCATATGTTTCGAATGGGGAGACAGCCATATAGAGCAAAACCAGGCCCTTAAAACCAAATTCACTTGCTCGAATATGCTTCAAACAAAGAGGCAATAGAGCAACATCAAAACCAAAAGTCCCAACATAAAACTCCAAAGCTACAAAACAAAATGATACTACACGCCTGTGTTTCAAACAGAAGGGGGCATCAAAAAAGCTAAAGATCCACAACAGAAAAGTAGAAAAAAACCCACAGCCTTCCTCTCAACCAATAAGCTCATGGGTTGAGGCAGCAGGGAAGCCACCAAGCCAACACAAAACTCTCCAAAAGCCTTCAAACAAAAGGTAAATCATGCATTGATATTACGAATAACAGGGGAGCATAACCAAGCCCTCAAACCAAACTCCAAAAGCCTCAAAGAATTATTTCATCTTGCATATGTTTATGGGGAGACAACCATATAGAGCAAAACCAGGCCCTTAAAACCAAAGTCACTTGCTCGAATATGCTTTAAACAAAGAGGCAACAGAGCAGCATCAAAACCAAAAGTCCCAACATAAAACTCCAAAGCTACAAAACAAAATGATACTACACGCCTGTGTTTCAAACAGAAGGGGGCATCAAAAAAGCTAAAGATCCACAACAGAAAAGTAGAAAAAAACCCACAGCCTTCCTCTCAACCAATAAGCTAACGGGTTGAGGAAGCAGGGAAGTCATGCATTTATATTACGAATAACAGGGGAGCAGAACCGAGCCCTCAAACCAAACTCCAAAAGCCTCAAACAATTATTTCATTTTGCATATGTTTTGAATGGGGAGACAACCATATAGAGCAAAATCAGGCCCTTAAAACCAAATTCACTTGCTCGAATATGCTTCAAACAAAGAGGAAACACAGCAGCATCAAAACCAAAAGTCCCAACGTAAAACTCCAAAGCTACAAAACAAAATGATACTACACGTCTGTGTTTCAAACAGAAGGGGGCAACAAAGAAGCTAAAGATCCACAACAGAAAAGCAGGAAAAAACCCACAGCCTTCCTCTCAACCAAAGGCGAGAAAAGGGTAAAAGGTAAAAATCTCTTGCGAAAGCGGGGCAGCGGGGTTAATACCGCTTCCCGCTTTTTCTCAGCTTTCGCGAATCCAAAAGCCAAAGTCGCAAACCAAACGACGAACTTTCGTGAATAATCGCGGCAAAGGCCCGCGCAGCGCCAAAAAATTCCTCCCAAACGGAGCCTAAGTTGAAGCAAGGCAGAATGGATGTGGCGAAATGTGTTTTGGGAGTAAAAGAATGTATTCCTTTGTGTTGATTTTGTTTCAACTTTGTGGAGTGACACATGATTTATATGTAGGGGTGTTAAAAATTGAAGTGACATGTCAACACGATTCGAACTCGACTCGAAAAAAATCATGTCAGTGTTGACCTGAATATATTTCAAGTAAGGTTAGGGTCAAAGAATTTTACTTATTTATTATTCGGGTCGAGCTTGGGTTGAACCCGAAAACCTAAACATGACCTGAATAAGCAGGAAATTTTGGGTCAGGATCGGGTTAACTGGTTAAGCTCAAGTTCAAATAAGTTTTGGGTCTTAGTTTTCAACATGTTTATTATTTGGGTCAGGTTTGAGTTGACTATTTGGGTCGGGTCC